ACATAATGCTAAAATTCATCAAAATCTTTCGCTTCGTGCAAATTGCCTTTGGGCATAATGATAAAATTCATAAAAATCTTTTGTTTCATCTTATTCACTTTCAGGCATAATGCTAAGTTCCATAACAATTTTCATTACGTATGATTCTCCTTCAAGCATAATCTTAAATTCCATGAAAATCTATCACTTCGTGTGACTCACCCTCAGGCATAATGTTAAAACCCATCAAAATATTTTGTTCTGTTGAATTGCCTCAGGCATAATGTTAAAATCCATTAAAAGACTTTTGCTTCGTGCAAGTCACCTTCGGGCATAATCATAAATTCCATTAAAATCTTTCTCTTCATGTGACTCGCCTTTGGGAATAATGTTAAAATCCATAAAAAATCTTTTGCTTTATGCGAATTGCATTCGAGCATAATAATAAAATCCATAAAAATCTTTCACTTCATGTGAATCACCTTCGAGCATAATTCTAAAATCCACATAAGATCTTTTGCTTCATCTAACTCGCCTTTGGGCATACTCCTAAAATCTATAAAAAAAACTTTCATTTTGTGCGAACTGCCTTCAGTCATAATCCTAAAATTATTAAAAATCAAAAGTATTTTCTCCTTTGGATATAATCTAAAAAAAATCAATCGCTTCACTTAATGTTAAAATCCTAATATAGAAAAATGCAAAAAAAGAAATATTTTACTTTGTGAAATCAATTAAAAGCTTTTCTATTCATACATAAGCATTAAATTCAAAAATCTTTCACTCTACACATGTCGCCTCTAGGTTTTTCTTAGTGCATGGCAGCATGACACTTTGCACTATACGGTTTTCATCGTCTAGTATATCGATGTTTCCATGTGCAAGCTACTCCCATCTAAAGGACTCTTATTACCTATCACGATGACAACATGCACTATAACAATCACAAGACCTTTGTCAAGTTTTTAAAATGGTTTTCTAAAAGGTTTTAAAATCAAACACCCATAAAATTTCCTTCAACATCAACTTCCATTAAACATCAAAATCCATCAAAACTCAACAAGCTTTATACAAAAAAACTTTTAAACTCCATTAAATTATCAAATCCTTCAAATCGATACATCAATCACTAATGCAAGCATTAATTAATACTAGATATATCTGGGATGACACCACTTTAGTTTTTGTAGTATCGCTTGGTAGTTGCATTTGCCTTCAAAGACTTGAGTTTGTACTACACCTTCTAAGCAAAGGCATTTCATTATGTCAACCTCGACCTTGACCAAAATTCCAATAGCAAAAATTACTCCATTTTCTTGCCCTTCGCAAAAATCTCTATGTTTTTTTCTTTGTGGTTCGACAACTTAGTACCTTTAACAAATATCTGTCAACACCCAATTTTTTCTTGGTCATTCACCCTACTTTCTTAAACTCTCATTTTTTAAATGAAAAACTTGAAAACAAAACCAGACTAAGCTGACACTTGTCAAAACTCAAAAAAGTCCACTTTTACATGAAACTCCAAAGTTATGTGTTGAATTCGGTAACCAAACTCCCAACATCCACCTATCATTGCACCAATTTTTCTCTCTAACAGATCTATGTAACGTTCAAACCTTGACTCCACAAAAGCAAATCCAACACATTCATTGCCTCAAGGATCTTAAGATATGATTACCAACATTACCAAAATTTATTTACCAAAATTAATATAACAAAATGGATCACAAGTTTAATTTTCCATATAAAAAAATTAATCACCAAATTTAAAGTACAAAAATGACCAAAATTAGATAAATTACTTCACTTTCATAAATTAATAATTGACCAAAATTAAAAAAATAAATAAATTAATAATTTCACAAAATTACCAAAATTACCAATTCATAAATTAGAAATATAATAATTTTTTGTTAATCTTTCATTTGCCAAAATAAATGTAAATTAACATAAACTTATTAAAAAAATTAGTTTATCAAAAATCATTATGAAATTGACCAAAAATAATTAACATAAGTTAATTATCTATAAATGAATTAACCAAAGTTATTAAATTAATAAAATTATTGTTTGATAATTACAAAAATCAATTAGTAATTTTTTGTAAATTCAAAATTAAGCAAAATGAATTTACTTAAATTAATTTTTGGTATTTTTTCTAAATGTTATTGATTTACAAAAGTTACCAAAATTCATTTACCAACATAGATTACGTAATTTATCAAAATTAATTACGGAATCTACCAAAATAGTTTATCAAAATTAATTTCCAAATTACCAAGAATTATTTTTCTTTATCTTTGGAGAAGCTAACAACGTGTGAGATAGTTGAGAAGTGTAATCTATTTATCTTCTTTAAGAGACATGATGGAGAAGCTTTATTGAAAGGAAAGTAGAAGGGGTATGGGATTTTAGAAGAAAAAGGTGGGATGTGATTTTGCAATTAATATGAGACAGAAGATAGTCGGAGATATTTTGGGAGTAAAATAGTTTTAAGCTTCCTCAAATATTGGAATATGGCTGCTAGTGGTTGAATTATTTAGGAGTACAGTGGTTTTAACTTTCTACCACCTAGATTGAGCCGCTTTATATATATACTAGCGGGCTCGTGCGATGCATGGAATTTGACTTAAAACATATTGTTCTATTATGGAGCTACACAATCCTGGGGTAGGGATGACAATTTTCTCCATGCCCACCAAGTACTTGGCCTCCCCAATTAGGTGGGGATGGGATGGAGATTGCCTTAACAGAGATAGGGAGGGGATGGAATTAATAGAAATACTTGATTGGGGACGGGGAGTGAAGTTCACACCCTGCCCCAACCCCAATTATATATATTAAATATATGTGTATATATTAATTAAATATATAATATTAGTTATAATATTTTTATATTATATATCAAAATATATTTAAAATATTATTTGAATTTTATTTTTAATACCTTTCTAAAAACAAACTTTTAATTAACAAAATTAGGGATTCAGGTCCCCAATGGGGAAGCCCTCTCTGTTGAGGACCAGGGATGCAGTCTAAAATTTTTGACACTTATTAATTTAAAACTCGAGGTCGGGATGGGGAGTATGACCCCCGCCCATTGCTATTCCTACCCTTGGGGTCATCCTCTAAACCTATAACACCCCCAAACCCATAAATATAGTTCCAATAATTATGGTAATTACAAATGTAGTATCCAATAATTATGGAAATTATTAAAATTTTCTAATTATTTATTTGAAAAATTGGAAGTTTTATAACTTAAGTTTCATTAAATTAACAAAATTTATTGATAAAAAATTATAGTAAATATAAAAAATAAATTTATATTTATTGAATCAATTTTCCACCAAAAATTATTGAAAAAATTTAATTATTGTTTGATAATATCATTAAATATTAATAAATTTACCAAAATTACTGAAAATATCAATAACTACTTATGGATAAAAATTACTGATAATTTTTAATTACTAAATTTTTATTTATTAATATTTTAATTAATTATTAATTTTTTAGTAATTATTGATTTCAATAATTAATTTTCAAAAAATTCTGAAATTAAATTACCAAAATCAGTAATTTTCAGATAGTAATTCTTAGTAATTAAAATTTTAATTTACCAAAATTATGAAAAATTATAGTTTAGATGTAGATATTCACTAAATAATATTCAATAATATCAATAATTATTGAAAATATAAAAAGTATTTCAAAAATTAATTTAACTACCCAAATTAATTTACTACTTATTGCTAAAACTTACTTATAATTTTTAATTATTAAATTTGTATTTTATTATTATTTTAATTAATTATTAATTTTTTAGTAATTATTGATTTCAATAATTAATTTAAAAAATTCTGAAATTAATTACAAAATTCAGTAATTTTCAACAAGTAATTATTAGTAATTAAAATTTTCAATTTACCAAAATTATGAAAGATTATAGTTTAGGTGTTGAGATTTACTAAATAATATTCAATAATATCCGTAATTATTGAAAATATAAAAAAATATTTCACAAACTAATTTAACTACCCAAATTAATTTACCCACGTTTTTTGCTTTTAGATGGTTTATAATATAGATTAAGAGGTGTTTTAGGAGGAATTTTAGATGTGAGAGATTATTTAGGATAAATTTTAGAGGGGGTTGAGCCGATTGGTAGCATGAGAGAGAGAGAGAGAGAGAGAATTGGAGTGGAAATCTAGTGAAGAAGAGAGGGCTGGCACGTGGCAATATAGATTAAGAGGTTCTTTAGAAAGAATTTTAGGTGGAAGAGATAATTTAAGAGAAGTTTTAGGAGGGGGTTAGGTAAGTGATTGAGAACATGAGAGAGAGAGAGAGAGTTGGAGTGGAAATTCAGTGAAGAAGAGAGGGCTGGCACGTAGCAATATAGATTAAGAGGTTCTTTAGAAGGAATTTTAGGTAGGAGAGATAGTTTAAGAGAAATTTTAGGTGGGGGTTAGGTAAGTGATTGAGAACATGAGAGAGATTTGGAGTGGCGCTCTAGTGTAGAAGAGAGGGCTGCCACGTGGCTACATGGAAGGGCTAGGAAGGGGTAAGGGAGAAAGGAGAGAGATTTAAGAAGATAAGAGAGAAGGGGGAATGAAAGATGGAGAGGGCTGCTGATGTGGGACCTAATCGCTTTATAATATAGTATAGATAGAATAGATATGAACAAACATCAAAATTTGCAATTATTTAATGGAAACATGTACAAGCAGAGAGATGAGTTAGGAGGGTTGAAATTTAGCCCAATATCGGTTTACTTTGCTCCTTGGGCCTTAGATTTATCCATGCCTCCACCTCTGACTACCCTTACCAACAAAGGCCACTTTCAACTTTCAAGAAAGAAGGAAAGAATTCCTGTTGCTCAAGTCTCATGGTCATGGTAGGTCAACCAATAATAAAACCAGCATTTAAGAAATCATGAAGAATTCAATTTCTTGGTATGGGTTCACCAACCCACACGCAGATTACATCCCATGTTTGATTAAAACACTGGCGTATTCAAATTTCATTTGGGGGTTTCGGTTTCTCCTGCGACCATGACCACAGGAAAGAGTTGTGAATTGGGATCTCCCCAAACGGAATAATCACAAATCACTGTAATATCTCAACTGCAAAGCGCAGGACAAGGGGAAGAAATCGTGTTCTTTATCTCGTGACGTTTACAGTTTATGTCATTCAATTCCTGTACTCCATTAATTGATAAGTTTGTTTATTCATTCTGCAGCAAAGCTCAATAGCTACAAATACAAAAGAAATTATATTTTATAAAATTGCTTTCTACAGTAAACAGAGGAAAAGCTGGTGTCCCCCATTCGATCTGTACTTCTACAGAGACCCAATCCATCTTCTCATATCAACAAATCCTATAAAGAAATTAAACCATCTCAATCTGAATCTTCTTCTGTCTTCTCTCAGACTTGCATTTTTTCTCCTGTTTTCTCTTTCACAGATTCTGCTCTACGTTTTTCTACTTAACTACCCTCCTCTTTCAAGTTTTAAATTTAACACTTACACCATTCTTTTCTTTCAACCTCTTTCTTTCTGATAAATTAAATGAGAGACCACATACGCAGATATGCTTAAATTAACACTCCTCTGTCCTCAGTACTCACCTGCATAAAACACTGAAATTATTTCTTTTAGTTATCTGATAATAATATATATATATATATATATATACCTGTTTTTTCACTATTCACAGTCGACCACCCTCCTCCCTAAGCCACCTCAACAATCATTTCAACCCCCACTCGACGATCATCACAAGCTGCCGGAGTGACGCCGTTGCACTTAACGGCCAAACCTTCTACACCCCACAGCTTCCCCTCAGTCTCCCTGTGTATGGAAGAGGCGATCGCCGTCAGATCCCTGTGGTGCACGTTAACCTTCAGCCCGTACTTCATGAACAGAGTCAAGGACATCTTCTGCTCCACGCAGTGGCCCGGTGCTAAGCTCAGCCGGTGTCGTAGCAACACTGCAGCCGCGATCGACTTCATTTGCAGATAAGCTAAGTCCTTCCCAAGACAGATCCTGGGCCCGGCGTTAAAAGCTACGAACTTGAATGGATGTTGGGCTTCGAATTGCTTCTCGTCGGGTGATAACCACCTCTCCGGTCGGAACTCAAGGAAGTCCTCCCCCCACGTGAACTTCATCCTGCCCGCCGAATATATAGAATACGTGATTGCCGAACCCGCCGGAACGAAAGTTCCGTCCGGCAGCACGTCGTCGGCTGCCACATGTTTTGAGTCTTCCGGCACCGACGGGTAGAGTCGCAGGGTTTCCGACAATGCCGCCTTCAGGTAGATCAAACGGTCAACTTCCTCGAACGCCAGGGGCTCGTCCACCCACTTCGATGGGTTGTTGCCACGTGTTTCCATGAGAACGGTGCAGATCTCGCGTAAGATCTTCTCCTCCACTCTCGGGTTCTGCATCACCAACCAGAAGAACCAGCTCAGCGCCACGGATGACGTGTCACGGCCAGCCAGGATGAAATTCAGTGCGACGTGTTGCAGGAACGAATCCGAGTAGGATTCCTTCTTCTTCATGAACCTCGAGAGCAAGTCATCATGGTGGGTCCCACCTTGGTGTTGATTCAGAAGCTCGAGCTTACGTGTCTTGATGACATCGGCTAGATACTTCTCCACGTGTTCGACGCTCTCAGTCAAGGTGACTTCCAAGCCGAGCCGAAGCCACTTCTTCAGCTTCCATATGAACTCAGGAAAGATAAAGCGCTGCAGCGACGCCTCCGTGGCTCGGTCGAAGGCCGAAGCGAAGCCGTTCTCCGGGAGACCCGGAGATAGGGTTTGTGGGTCCTTACCGAACGCCAGCCCGCATATGTTATCGAAGGTGAGCCGGAGCAGGAGGTCCTGAAGATCGACCGGCTTGGATTCGAGCTGAGCCGCCTTCAGAATCGGGCAGAACCTCAGTTTGATGGCTCGGTTCACCCACCGAGCCATGGCTTGGCGCAGCGTTCGGGTGGTGAATTCGAGAGCAGCGGTTTTCCTCTGGAAAAGCCACGTGTCTCCATCAGAATTGAAGATGCCTTCACCGAGTAGATCATGGAACACAGCCTGCCAGGTGGGGCCCTTCGGATAGTTGTCGAATCGGGTCTTCAGTATGTGCTCCAGATTCTGCGGATCGCACGTGACGGTCACAAGCCCTTGCTTTCGCGCCAGAGAGGGGATGGCGCAGATGCAGGTCTGGTACGTGCCGCCACACGCTCGGAGATTCTCGGCGATCCAGTCGTGCATGCGATCGGCGTTGTCGATCAGTCCCGGAAGGCTACCCAACAGGGGCCAGACACGTGGACCTTTTAATGACCGGGAGATGAGTCTGAACCAGAGTAAATACGCCATAATGGCTGCCAAGAGCAACAGAGTCGTAGATGCATCCATGGGAGGAGGATTGGATGATTGATTGCCGCCGCCGGTAAAATGCAATTTCACGGTGGATTTTTTTTTATTGCCGGAAAGTTACTCGACTCCGGTAAACCCTGGAACTGGGTTCTGGAAGGTAGCTTGAAAATAGAAAGCACTCCAGTGTGTGTGATGAAAAAATGTTGGTTTTCCCCTGTCGACACCAACCTCACAGGTCATCGCAACCCTGCATTGGGAACGTACGTCTTCCTATATGAATGATAAAATCATAAAATCAACTACGGGAGATGTTCTTCCGTGTCACCGGCTTATTAAGCTGGGAGCTGCAGAAATAAGGAAGCTATATATGTAGAGGAAAATGGCGTCGAAAGAGGAGAAAAGAAGCCTGCAGAGACTGCGACTGTGAAAGGGAGAAATGAAGAACTCATGTACGAAAACTGGGAAACTAGATAATGTAAAGGAATAAAATGAAGAAAAGGAAGGAAACCCGGGTTAGTGAGACCTCAGACCTGGGTTTTTACGTCGGAAAACCAGAGAGCTAAAAGGAAGGAGAGGAAAGAAATGGAGGCGTATGACTGTGAAAGAGAGAAATGAAGTTACACGGATTTATAGGAGAAAAGAAATGGCAATTAATTAATGTGGCCAGATTCTTCTTCAATTGCACAGTCTCTCTCCCATTAGCCCACTAACACCTTGAAACACGCCATAGAGGTCGTTGGGAATTTAAGGTAAACCAGCCCAGCAGACCCCCCAGACGAGAAAACCAGTTGGACAAAATTAAACCGGACATCTCTCTCTCTCATATAGTCATTCATATACATATATATACTCATGCATGAAAATATATACAAGTACATACGTTATGCATATAGAAAATTCACCTAATTCTGCAGGAGAGGGGGTCCTCTTAAATTCACGCATTCAATGGAAGAAGAGAAGTATATAAATGGAATTAGTTAAGAGATGGGAGATTAAATTTAAAAGGAAATGCCACCGGCATGTATGGTGGTGCATGGTTATTTGATATTTCTTTTCTTTTCTTTTCTTATGCATGAGAGACAGTCTGGTATTGGGTGAACGACCCACCAAAGATATAAGCTAATTTAACTTTATCCAAATATATATCCAAAAAGCTAAAATAAACCTAAACTCTATCTGACGCTTCTGCATGGTGCATCTTTGGGTTATATTGGTGCAACTGTTTCCTAACACCCTTGCCTTTCATCATGCATGTCAAACCCTATAATCCAAAAAGTCGTATCAATTTCTTGATTCAGGTGATATTAAGACAAAATATTGACTGAGATGGCCCAGTTAAGTTCCTCAACAGGTTGGCCTTAGGGTTGGCAAATGGATGGATTGGGTTTGGATAAGGATTGAGTATCAATTCACCCATCTTGGTCCACCAATCCATCATGACCCATCATCAATGCTTGTTAAAAGGGTCATAACCCACTTTAACCCTGACCCACCCGAGCTGATTCATCCATATTGACCCACTTGATCCATTTATATGACCTTTTCCCACCCTTACCCATACTAACCCACCTACCATCGCATATAAATATATAAACGGGTCGAGTCGACCGGTATACCCTAAACAACAACTTTTGAGAGAGTCAACTCTCCTGAGACTATCAAGTGGTATAAACGGGTCGGATCGACCCATGTGCCCGAAAATGTTATTTTGGATGAAACACCTCTCAATGATGCCACATGGAAGAAACGGGTTGTGTCAGCTTATATACCCAAAAAATAACAACTTTTTGAGAGAAACAACTCTCCCGAGATTGCCATGTGGTATAAATGGGTTGGGTTGACCTGTATATCCGAAATAATAGAAAATACCAGAAAATTCAAAAAACATGCAGAAAATTGCAAAAATATACAAGAAATTTGTAGAAAATGCATGAAAACACAAAAAAATGCAGAAATTAATCAGAAAAATTGCAGAAAAAAGTAGAAAAATAATAGAAGATTGCAGAAAATGGAGAAAAAAAATACTAAAAAAGCAGAAAATACCAGAAATAGCAGAAAAATGCAAAAAAAAAGTAGAAAATTGCAAAAAAATACTAAAAAATTGCAGAAAATAGAAGAAAATGCAGAAAAATAGTAGAGAATTACAAAAAATAGCAGAAAATTGCATAAAAATACTAGAAGATGCAGAAAAATACCAAAATTGCAAAAAAATAGCAGAATATGCAATAAATTGAAGAAAATACCAGAAAATTGCAGAAATTACAGAAAATACAAGAAAATTGCAGAAAAGTACCAGAAAATTGCAAAAAAATAGCAAAACTACCATGAAGTTGTAGAAAATTTGAAAAATAATAGAAAATTACAGAGAATACCAGAAGGTAGAAGAAAATAACAGAAAATTGTAGAAAAGACAGAAAATTGCAGAAAATGCAGAGAAAAGCCAAAAAAATTTACAGAAATTGCAGAAAAATACCAAAAAATCACAGAAAATACCAAAAAAATGTAGAAATGCAATAAAAGAAGAAAATTGTAAAAAAAATGCACCAATCAAAATCCACAAAATGTATTGTAATGCAAATATAGGACTCTATTATGATCGAAGTCTACATATCCAATGATAGATTAATTCTACCATGGATGGAATGCAACAAATCATAAAACCTTTTCTTCTCTCTCTTTCTCTTTTATATAATCTTAAAATATCGGCCTTAATGATGTTTTGAGTAATATGCCGAACATCAGAATTCAAAACAGTATGAACATTTCTATTTCCTTCATGCTCTACATATGAGAGAGGATAGTCATGCCTTATTATTACCATTGCCATCGCTTCCTTTTATGCAACTTCATCAAATATGTGAGTCCTACTTCAAGGACTACAGGTCTCAATTATATTTTGATATGTTGTCTCAAATTGGATGTGCCATAACTAGAATCTATAATGTATGCTTTCTCGTAGAACTTACACTTCGCTTTTGGTTTTCCATCATCATCAATAAACTTTTCAAAAGCCCCCCCCCCCCCATACACTTGAAAAACCTCTTTTTCCACTAGTAGAGCTTGAGCTTAAGTAACATTAAGTTGAAGTTGACAATGAAATCAATGTGGCATAAGTGAAAACTTTCATGGATAGCGTTGATAGATAGAGATAAATTCTCTATCCAATAAGAGATAAACATGGGATGAGTTAGAAATAGAAATACTTTAGAAAGATTTAAGAGAGTTTTTAGGGAAAGGGGGAGGGGAGAGGTTGAGAGATTTTAGGACAATTTTTGGGTAATTGGGAAGTAAAAGGAAAACAAATCATTCAAAGGATTTTGAAACGGTAGACCAAAAGAGATTCTACAAGTAGCAAAAGTTGTAGAAAACAGATATAACATTAAACAAGAAGCAGAAACAAGAACCATAAACTTGAAATGTGAAACACAACAAAATAGAAAGTAGAAAACAACCCAAAGGCAAAAGCTAGAGTGGTACTACTTGCCGATGGGAAATTTGTATCCACTCACGAATTGATCTACTCTAAGTACACATTGGGAAAGGCCATACACAGACCTAGACAAATTTAACAGTAAGATAAAAAGGCTTTCTTGCACATAGGAGATGTTTTCACGTCTAGAAAGGATTAGCAAGTAGAAAACAAGGATGGAATGACAGAATATGATTTACATATCTGTCCCCAAGTACATGAGATAAAGCTAATTAATGATGATACGGATCTTACAAGTGGTCCTCTTTGTTTTTATTTTTATTTATTGATTTATCTTTTGCTTAGTGTTCATCACGTGCACTGATATTTTCTCTGCCTTATTTCTAGTAGAAATCCTTTCGATGACTGAAAAGGTTAAACTCAGGGGCTAGGACTCTAGCAAAATGAAAGACGTTTGGAAGTTTTGCAACACATGGTAGTTCACAATTCTACCATAGGCACTTGGAATGCAGAACTTTAGGCTATGTTTGGTTTGAAAGAAAAAGTAAGGAGAGGAAGGAAAAGGTAGGTTTGTATAGGTTTCCTACCTTTTCTTTCAAACCAAACACAGCTTTAGATATTATGAGATGTTACATGGAAATTAATTACAAGGCTATGTATAAGCCCTATCTCAACTAAATGTGGGGGCCATTGATGGGCTTGTGTGGAGATGCACCCTTCATGGGAAAAGTAACAACCTCATCTTCGTGCATTAAGTTGCTTACCACTGATTCCCCAAGTGGGTCCACATCTAGCTTCCTTCACAATGATATGAAAAAGAGACACCTCACCTATGTTAGATGAAGCTCTTACCCCCATTAGTCAAGTTGTTTGTGTGGAAATGTGTATATAATGTTTTGCCTTCAAAAGAAAGACTTGCCAGCTGGCACTCTCATTTCAATGATATTGCATGTCCAGTCTGTGGGGAAGATGTTGAAATTGTTATACATATTCTCTTTCTTTAAGTCATGTAATTCTATCAGATTTAATAACCGAGTCGGATGAATGAATATATGCCTATGGGATTTTTCAAAAAAAGAAAAAAAGGAAAGAAAATTTTGAAAAATCAATGTTTTGACACTTTATTGGTTGTATCCTTTCTTATAAACATTGTTTAGGAGTTTCAAGTGCCAAAATATTTTTCTGACTTCAGATTTATTGAGTATCACCAAGTTAAGACCATTAGTTTTGGAGTTATACCAGTAATGGTGGTTGATGCTGCGCAATCTAGCTGCTCCTAGCTGGAGCTGACTTGGCTCCCAGGTGATGAGGGACATGGAGAATCTGCACAGAAAGAATCAGAGAACTCAGGGGTGCTTACCCGACGAGGTTGCTCCGATGCTTAAGTCAGTATGTGCGCACTGAAAGTGATCAGAAAGTAGGAGAGCTAGTAAGCAGTAATTGCGCGTACCTCTGCCCCCAAAGGGTTGGGGTCTTTTTATATTGGAATCCTCGCGGGTTTTTTGGAGTGGTTTTGGAATTCTCGCCGTGATGTGGCCTGTCACCGAATTAATGGGAGATAATGTCGCCAGCCGATAAGGCATATCGTTGCCGTCCGAATCGGTCGGAGGAGATAAGGCCAGCTGTTACGAGGCGTGATCCCGTGAAACATGGAATCCGGTTACGAGATCTTCGGGGTTATCATGTGGAGGCCGGTCAATATTACCTGAACTGATGCCCCCCGGGTCCGATCTGTTATGAATGCCGAGGTGCCTGGTAACCAAGGTGATCTTAATGCAATCGTGCCTCGAAGTGAACTTGTCCCGAGGTGGATTCGCTTCCGAGGTGGGTCTGTCCCGAGGTGGTTCAGTTATCTGAGCTTGGTCCATCGAAGACTTGGGTTCACTTGGGATGAGTTGTCATTCTGTCAGCTAGGTCGTGTCCACGTGTCCCTCCATTATTAGGTCGGAACAAATCACCCCACATCAATTGCCCCCCACTCCCCGGGCCAGGGGTCCTGACCTGGTGCGGGGAGTTTATGACAAACCAAGTGGATTTGGTTCGAGGACCGGGCAGCTAGTCAGATAACCCACGGGTCGGACTCGTTCGGCCGCCCGACTCAACCAGGAAAACACAGGTCGCGTCTAGTTTACGCGCGGACGTCACACAAATTATGAACTCCGCGGATGTCAAAAAACACGCTAAACCGAATTTACCCTCGGGGGTCGTGCAACTGGTTTTCCTAGGAGCCGTACGATTGCTTTAATCTCAACCGTTAG